GTTGCCAAGTTCCCCTTTAATGAATTATTCTCTACCACTGATAATGTCACTGATAGAAGTGACAGACAGACTTTCAGAATAAGACTCAATGAGGCTCTTTTCCACCAGTTGTTGTTTGTGAACAGAAGATTGAATCCCTGGATGATCTTACTTGGCGTAGGCTTTCTCCAGCAGGGCGCTCCAGAACTCCCTCCCCTCCGCTGAGTGGACAAACATCAGCTCTCCGTCTTTAACTGGCAGACGGTCATCGATCACCACGTCCACCCACTCCCCGAACTGCCAGAACTACACACACAGAGAACGGGAAACACAGTGTAGACATTTACTTTGAAAGTCTCTCTTAATACTGAATTCTTCTTCCTGTCAGTGGTTGGAACAGAAGTGATACTGACTGTGTTCAGTTTAAATATTATTTTACCACAGTTCATGTACAGCACCTGTGCTAATACCAAGGTCTGTTACCTGGAAGTGAAAGATGCCAGCGTAGTCGTCACCAAAGCCCTGGTCTGTGGGAACCACTCTGGCCATCACATATTCATTTAGGGTCAGAGAGGCGATGGCCGCCAACAGCCAGCAGTCACCTGCACACACAGGTCAGGTGACAACGACATCAGAGGTTTCATCAATATCTCACAGTAAAATTAAAAAGTGGTTTAATGATTATAGATTATTAATTGAATCAACTTATAGAACATAGCTCTAGAGTTTATACACTGTCTAATGATTATAGATTTAATATAGATAAATCTCTAATCTAAAAATAATATAGATTTATTTAATCAAAGCAGTTAGGATTGGCGCCGGCATCATGTGTGGACCACGCAAATCAGATGATGGTCACACCAGCCATACTTCCTGTCTCCAGTAGGGGGCGCTGTGACTGTGACTGAATGCCATCAGACATGTGAAGTTTGGTGCAGATTGGACAAAGTAAACTTAAGTTATGCCAGTGACACGCTGATCGTCACACGGTCAAACAGACAAGACAAGACAAGACAGACAGACAAGCAGACAGACAGGCAGACAGACAGATCACAGCAGTGTAGAAACAATCTTTACAGTCAACAGTTTCACAACAGCAGTCAGATCTGCTGCTGTGGTTTAATGGAGGCACGAAACACTGAGTCATAACCACAACACTGTGTGTGTGTGTGTGTGTGTGTGTTCAGGGTGTGTCTTCATTGGTTGGCAGCACATATATTCTCTCTCTCTCTCTCTGATGTTTGGGTGTATGTCTTTCGCCCTCTAACAATAGCGGGCAGGCCTCTTCCTGTCCTGCTGCTTCCTGCTCGTCCAATCAGGGCTCAGCGTGGCAGCGCCCTCTTATTAGAGCAGGATCCAGGTCCTCAGCTGGTTCACATTAACTGCTCTGGTTAGAAATGTTCTGCTGTAAACAGGGTTCTGTCTGTCTGTCTGTTACGTTCGTGTAGGAATCCACATCAGTTTCAAACTGAACCCTGATTGGCTCCAGACCAGTTGTGATGTCATAAAGCCTTTTATTGCCTTTAATCAATAGAGACAAGAGTGACAGGAAAGGGGGGAGAGAGGGAGGACGACACACCCTTAACCACTGCAGCAGGGACTTAGCCTGGTACCTGGGGGGCCAGGGCTACCAGGTGAGGGGGCCAGCCCTGGTGGGCTCTAATAGTGACATATTTTCAGTATATTTCATATTGATCAATATCAATATCAATAAGCAGAGAACAGCTGATAAACTCTACAATGAACCCAAACAGTGAACGCATTAACTATTATCTCCACAGAAGATAACGCCGGCCCACAATTCATGCAGCAGCAACATTTAGTTTCTATTTAACATTATCTGTACTTAGCCTGTCTTACTGAGTTATTTCCTTTTTCTTGTTTGTTGTTGTTGTTGTTGTTGTTTGTGTTGTTTGTCATGGCTCATATGTTTCAGGTCTTAATGTTAATCACGTCTCTTGCACTAAAAAAAAATTAAATAAATAAATATATTTTTAAAAGACGCCTGTTCACAAATACAAACGATGAAAATGACCGACAGAGGACGCAGATCAGCGTCTACGTTAGCATCTACATTATTATTATTACTATGTTAGCGGACTTTAACATGTCTACAGAGTTATATTTTAATATTAACTTTAATATAGTTTGTTTAACTTTATATCAAACTGCAGCTCCTCAGATTTGCATATTGCACCATATTGTAATTTTGATAATATTTTGATTAATTGTGCAGCCGTACCGCCGTCTCATTATTACATTGATAAACATAAAGAGCTGTCGGACTGTCTGCTCTTATGAGTTCTCCTCATGACCTTTTCCCTTCAGGTCAAGGACGTTTATGAAAGGACCGACTGTGTGAACAGACAGAACCGCTGCAGTTTAAATTTGAATAAAACCACAATCGACGTGGAACATCACAGACACAAGAACTAAAACCAGCTTAATAAGGCAGGTTCACTTCAGTTACATTCAGTCACACTTCAGTCACACTTCAGTTACACTTCAGTTACATTCAGTCACACTTCAGTAACTTCAGTTACATTCAGTCACACTTCAGTTACATTCAGTCATACTTCAGTCACACTTCAGTTACACTTCAGTTACCGTTCTTCCGATGGGACCAGATCATTAAGATGTAGTAAACCCAGTGAAAACCATTGGACTGCATCAGGAGATTAATGTAACAGGAATTTATGTAGATATACGAATGAAATAATCTGTGTAGAACATCTACAGTGACGAGTTCAGGAACCAGAGTTCGTTATAAAACATAGACACAGAATCTAAAAGAAGCAGCACCACTTCAGTCTGAAACACAAAATGTTTCTTCCTGCTAACATGTTCCAACAAGCTTCATTCTGAAGAAAACTGCAACGTCCCCTGACCTCTGACCTCCAGACGAGTTCAGACTCACCCAAACAGAACTGAAGTGCCTGTCTGTCTGCCTGTCTGCACATGAGCAGCAGCTTCTCTGAATCAATGAGTCTGGTGTGTTCAGGGACAGTCTGGAGGCTGTGGTGTGTTCGGGGACAGTCTGGAGGCTGTGGTGTGTTCGGGGACAGTCTGGAGCTTGTGGTGTGTTCGGGGACAGTCTGGAGGCTGTGGTGTGTTCAGAGACAGTCTGGAGGCTGTGGTGT